CTGGCTGGGCCTGGGCTGTGGAGCCTGGAACGTGTGATGGAGGGATGAGCGGGGCTGTCCCTTCCTGGGCCCAGCTCTTTTCTGCAGGACTGGCTGTGTCTGCAGGGGCGCATGTCACCTCTGTGCTGACTGGTACCCTCCCACTTGACTTGGAACCCGTTGAGGGGCCGTGGCTGCTTCCCAGACACAACAGCCTAGGCCCAGAAGCCCCATGTGGACTTTGGGACTCTTGGTTGCTAGTGACAGAAGCTCAAACTGGCTGAAGCTGAAAGGGGCCTTGGTTGTCCTGTGTGGTTAAATGTCTGGAGGTTGCGTAAGCTTCAGGCTCAGCTGGCTCCAGTGGCTCTAGTGGGTGTTGCCAGGCTCGTGTCTCGTGCCAGTTCTCCATGTTGGTGTCATTTTCAGGCGGACTCTTTCCTTGTGGTGGCTCAGGTGTCTGCTGGCAGTGCCAGGCCACCGACAAAAGAGAACGCCTCCTTCCCTGGGTCAGCAGAAGTCCGAAAAGAGCCCTCACTTCCCAGGCCTGTGGTACTGGGGCTTGGGAGGGACTTTGCTGATTGGCCACACCGGGGTCATGTGGCCCCTGAGCCAGGGTACTGAGGATCAGGAGAGGGGACATTGCGCAGCAGAAGCATGAAACACCCTCCCTGCATCTGGACCCCTCCCCCATGGTGGAGTCCCCTCCTCTTTAAAATGGGGCTGCTCACCCTGCTCTACCACTGGGGTGGTCGTGAGGTGAGAACAAGTGAGGGACCCTGGGACTGCAGGCTCCTCAGGAAGTGGGGACTTGACCTGCCCAAGGGCATAGCTCTGCTCTTGTTGGCTTTGGAATTCAGACAGGACCCGTGGGGTGTGGGTCAGAGAGTAACAGAGAGGCAGGGCTTGCCTTGAGCTAAGGGAGGACTCAGGGCCAGAAAAAGTACCCAGTGATGGAGGAGACTGCCCTGACAGGTGGTGAGCTGCCCGTCACGGAGGTGTGCAAGCTAACAGCGGGGTCATTTGTTAGCAAGCAGGTGTGCGAGCCAACGGCAGAGTCATTCAATCCAGGGGACCCTGGATTGGATGCATCTCAGACATCTCAGACATGGCAGAAGCAGATTGGATGCATCTAAGACAAGGCAGAAGGGTTCCTTCATCCAGGGCCTTGTGGGGAGGCCCTCCCCGTTGCCAACTAAGTCAAGGGCAGGTGGAAGAACTGGTGATTGGACAGGGGGCCTTGAAAACTTCCCAGGCAGGGGGTGCTTCTGGGTCTGGCTTTGGGGCGGTAGCTCCTAGGGAGGAGCTGGCCTGGGGACATGCCACTGGTGGTGGGTTCCTGGGGCCCGTCTGGAGATGTGATCAGTGAGGTCATTCCTCCCAGGCCTGACGCTACCCGGCTTGTTCCAGGAGCGGGCCAAGGTCCCTGGATGGGCCAAAGTCCTTGTGCCCATGCTGTCTACTGTTTACCTGCCCCTGCCTGCCATTGCCCAGGAAGTGGCCTAATGAGATCCTTGAGAGGCATGTCTGCCAGGCCTGGGTCCCCACGGGCCCTTGGGACCCTCTCAGCTGGGTTCCTCCCTCTCCTTGTGGTGGCCCAGCCTGGCTTTGTGTGCCTGGAGTGGGTGTATCCACACACTCTCACACTTGCACTTGCATGCTTGTGTCTGGCCGCCTCAGCTCTGGTGTGGGGACTTTGCCCGGGGGACGGAGCAGCCGTGGGGAGTGGCCTCAGCCCTCTGGTGTTTGGAGCTTCTCAACCTGGCCGTCCTGGTGCACTGGTGTTTGGCCTCAGGCCGGGGGCAGGCGAGGTTGCTGTTTGTGTGCTGTGGCATCTGGCTCAGTCTCCCAGGATGTCAGGTAGGGAGTCTGGGCTGTGGAGTGCTGGTTTGGGAGCTGGCAGACCCGGGTTTGAATCCCAGCCCATCCACCCACCAGCTCCAGCTGTGTGATCTTAGGCAATCACTCTGCCACTCTGGGCTCAGTTCTGCATCTGTGAAACGGTGGTGCCACCTTGACCTTTACTTGTTGTGAAGATGAGAGTGAATGTGTGTGCAGGTGCCGGGGTGACAGGAGCTGCTGCTGCTATTACTGCAAAGGGCTATTTTGGGGTGAGGGGAGGCTGAATTGGATGCATCTCAGGCAGGGACCTTATCTTGTTGGGCAAACCCCACAGCACAGGTTTGGATGTATATGGTTAGCACACAACACATGCCTTTTGTGGAATATAGACTGATTAGTTTACATTTAGAGGTTGTAAACTAGTGAGTTGCAATCACTGAAAAATTTGAAATAGCCGCCAACATTAAAAAATCATTATTTCATGTAGAAACCAGATTTGTAGTTTGAACACTTTGACAGCTCTGGGCCAGACCCCTGAAGTGTTGAACAGGTGCCAAGGCCTGTAGACACCTGCCCAGGCACTAAAGGAGCCACGGCCCCGCAACAAATGGCCCCATCCTCCTCCCCCAAATATGTGGTTTTTCCATTTTGCCCCTGGTGTGTGGTGATGGAATAGGAACTTCCAGGGGAAATAGAGCCTGAGGTGGCTTCTGGAATTGAGGTGGCCCCAGGGATCTAATAGTAGCGGGCGCTGGTTGTGGGGGCTTCCTTTAGACTTGGGGACCTTGGATATTCTGCTTTTTTGCCTTTGGGGCTGGGGGCTTGCCTGGCCACCTTCCCTGTGCTGGACCAGCTGTCCTTTGAAGCTTCCACTGGTGGCTGGCCATTTGTGCCCTGTGACTGCCCTGAGCCATCCTGTGTCTCACAGCCTCCCTGCCCTCTGCCCTCTGCCTCTGGCCATGTCCTGATTCGAATCCAAGGCAGGCCTGGAGGACACTGGGCGCCTGGACTCTTGGTCCAGGGTTGCCCCCTTCACACAGGTTCCTGCTGGAAATATGGCAGCTGTCCCCAAGTCCTTATTGCTGTGTGAGGGATTGCACATTTTTGGTAATTTTCCTTCCTTTGGAGACTGATGGGCATCTCTGGGGAGAAAAAGCCCAGCCTAGCACACAGGACGTGTAGAGGCTGGCAGGCGTAGGTGTGGCTCACAAGTCTTTTTGGAATAGATGAATGTGCTAATGAATGAATGGTGCTGGGGAAAAAAGGAGCCCACATGGGCTGAGCATGGCAAGCCTGGGGTCAGCTCACAGTTTTGTCACAAAGGGGCCTCTATTTCCCTCTCTGAGACTCAGCTTCCTTTTCTGTGGAGCAAGGCTTGCAGATATCCGAAATTGGCATCAGTGGACTCTTTTAAGAAAACAAGATCTTTGCCAGATACAGTGGCACATGCCTGTAATCTTAACACTTTGGGAGGCCAAGGAGGGTAGATCACTTGAGCCTAGGAGTTTAAGAGCAGCCTGGGCAACATGGTGAAACCCCATCTCTACAAAAAAATACATGGCCCACTGCAGCCTCGGCCGCCCTGGGCTAAGGCAATCCTCCTACCTCAGCCTCCTGTTATTGCTGCAAAGCTACACAGGAGGCTGAGGTGAGAGGGTTGCCTGAGCCCAGGGAGGCTGAGGCTGCAGCAGGCCATGACTGCACCACTTCACTCCAGCCTGGGTGACAGAGTGAAACCCCATTAAAAAAAGAAAAGAAAAGAAAAAATGCTGTTTTATGTGGAGCTTCTGCAACAGATGCAGGGGCTGCTGTGGTTGAAAAGGGGTGTCGGGGCCTGAGCCTGTGCCCCTCTGCCTTCCCTTCCCATTGGGGCCCTGAGGCATGTCCCCAAATCCCAGAGCTCCCAGGATCACAGCTTGGAACCCTCTGGGCCTGGAGATGTGAGACTCACTAGAAAATGAAGTGAATGTGGTGTCTGTACCAGGACCATGGGGACAGAGCAGAGCCTGGAGACAGATCTCAACTGTGTGGTCACCTGATTTATGACAGAGGTGGCTCCACTGAAATTCAGTTAGGAAAGGATGGCTAGTTCACTGAACAGTGCTGGGATAGTTCAATATCCATGTGGAAAAAAGAAATGAACCTTGATCCCTACCTCACACCATACCCAGAGTGAATTGAGATGGATCAGAGACCTTTGTGTGAAAGCAAAAAGTGAAATGTGCCGAGCAGAGCTGGCCTGTAGAAGTTTCTGTGATAACACACATGCTCTGTGTATCTGTGCTGGCCAGTACAGCAGCCACCGGTCACACGTGGCTGTTGAGTATTTCTTTTCTTTTTTTGCGACAGTCTTGCTCTGTTGCCCAGGCTGAGTGCAATGGCACAATCTCAGCTCACTGCAACCTCTGCCTCCCGAGTTTGAGCCATACTCCTGCCTCAGCCTCCCGAGTAGCTGGGATTACAGGCACATGCCACCACGTCCAGCTAATTTTTATATTTTTAGTGGAGACAGGATTTTACCATGTTGGTCAGGCTGGTCTTGAACTTCTGATCTCAGGTAATCTGCCTTTCTCAGCCTCCCAAAGTGCTGGGATTAGAGGCATGAGCTACCATACCTGGTATTTGAAATGTGGCTAGTGTGACCAAGGGACTGAGTTTCTAATTTTATTTTAAATTAGTTTGAATTTACTTTAAAATAATGGCCGGGCATGGTGGCTCTTGCCTGTAATCCCAGCACTTTGGGAGGCTGAGGCAGGAGGATTGCTTGAGCCCAGGACTTCAAAACCAGCCTGGGCAGCAAGGGGAAACTCTACCACTACAAAGCAAAATTTAAAAATTAGCTTGGGGTGTGGTGGTGCACACCTGTATTCCCAGCTACTCAAGAGGCCGAGGTGGGAGAATCACTTGAGGCTAGGAGTTTGAGGCTGCAGTGAGCTATGATCGTCCCACTGCACTCCAGCCTGGGCAACAGAGTGAGAACCTACCTTGAAAAAGAGAACAGCCACATGCGGCTAGTGGCTACTGTCTTGGACAGTGCAGTTCTAGAAGACACAGGGAACTAGCTTTATGACAACAGGGCATAAAAGTTAGGGTAGGGTTAAGATGGATAAATCGGATGCGAAGCTGTGATGCCTGGGCCCCGCTCTCCCTGATGCCAGCCCTCCCCTGACTCTGCCCATTAGGTCAAGTTCTGGTCTCCGCAGAGTAACCGTGTGTGGAGTCAGCCCAGTTTGGATGCACAGGAGGATGCCAGCAGCACAGTGAGCGAGGCCTGGCACCGGAGCTGTGCAGACCTCTCATTGGCCATGGAGCAGCAGGCCCAGGGGCCCCCTCCCCAGCCCCACTTGCCGGCCTTGGAGAGGCCAGAGGCATAGGCCCACAGGGAGGCTTTTGGCAGACAGATGCCCTCCAGGCCCTGGGGCCTCCTTAACAGCCAGTGGACACGTTTGCTGACGGTGGAGAATGCCGGCCAAGGGCCGATACTTCCTCAACGAGGGTGAGGAGGGCCCTGACCAAGATGCGCTCTACGAGAAGTACCGGCTCACCAGCCAGCACGGGCCGCTGCTGCTCACGCTCCTGCTGGTGGCCGTCATCGCCTGCCTGGCCCTCATTATCATCGCCTTCAGCCACGGGGTGAGTAAACGCAGCCCCTGGGCTTCATGTCTCAGCCCTGACCTTGGGCAAGCTGTTATCTTCTCTTAGCCTCAGTTTCCTCTTCTGTAAATGCTGTGTCTTTTTTTTTTTTTTTTTGAGACAGAGACTCACTCTGTCTCCCAGGCTGGAGGGCAGTGGCGTGATCTTGGCTCATTGCAACCTCCATCTCCTGGGCTCAAGCAATTCTCCTGCCTCAGCCTCCTGAGTAGCTGAGATTACAGGCATGTGCCACCATGCCTGGCTAATTTCGTATTTTAGTAGAGACGGGGTTTTACCATGTTGGCCAAGCTGGTCTCAAACTCCTGACCTCAAGTAATCCACTTGCCTTGGCTTCTCGAAGTGCTGGGATTACAGGCGTGAGCCACCACGCCTGGCCAATGCTATGTCTTTTACAGCATATTTAGACTGGTAGAAGACAGGTTTCTAATTAAAAAATATATATATTTTTTTGAGACTGGGTCTTGCTCTGTTGCTTAGGTTGGTTTTGAACTCCTGGTGCAAGTAATCCTCCTGGCTCATCTTCCTGAGTAGCTGGGATTACAAGCATGCACGACCATGCCCAGCCTCTCTAAGTTTAATTCAATTTTGAAGTCTGAAGTGGTTTTAGATGTTACATTAAATTGTCTGAATAAATTATTCTAATTTTTCTCCATGATGAAATTTGATTCTACTGAAGACCTGGAGTCACGGATGGCCTGTGTATTACTACCCTCACTTCCCATACCCATGCAGACATCATTAATCAATCCCTACACTCCATACTGAGCCTGGCTACATTCTCAGAATCCTCTTTTTATTTTATATTTTTTGTAGAGACATGGCCTCACTATGCTGCCCAGGCTGGTCTTGAACTCCTGGCCTCAAGCGATCCTCCTGCCTTGGCCTCCCAAAGCATTGAGATTATAGGCACGAGCCACTGCACCTGGCCTCAGGGTTTTGCTCTTGTTGCCCAGGCTGGAGTGCAATGATACGATCTCGGCTCACCGCAACCTCCACTTTGGGGTTCAAGCAGTTCTCCTGACTCAGCCTCCTAAGTAGCTGGGATTATAGACATGCTAGGCTATTTTTTTTTTTGTTGTTTTGTTTTTAGTAGAGATGGGATTTTACCATGTTGGTCAGGTGAAACTATGCTAATTGTTTGTGTTTTTAGTAGAGATGGGGTTTGACCATGTTGGTCAGGCCGGTTTTGAACTCTCAATCTCAAGTGATCTCCCTGCCTCAGCCTCCCAAAGTGCTGGGATTACAGGAATCTGCCACTGTGCTGGGCCTCTTCAGAATCATTCCAACACAGCTCTCCAGGCTGACACCATTCATGTCGTCTCTGGCCCAGGCATTCGCCTTGGTACAGCCACTAACTGTGTTCAGCTATTGAGCATTTAAAAAGTGGGGAATAGACTGAGGAACTGCATTTTCTTTGATGGAGTTTCACTCTTGTTGCCCAGACAGGAGAGCAATGGCGTGATCTTGGCTCACTGCAGCCTCCTCCTCCTGGGTTCAAGTGATTCTCCTGCTTTAGCCTCCAGAGTAGCTGGGATTACAGGCACCTACCACCACGCCCGGCTAATTTTTGTATTTTTGGTAACAATGAGGTTTCTCCATGTTGGCCAGGCTGGTCTCAAATTCCTGATCTCAGGTGATCCACCTGCCTCAGCCTCCCAAAGCGCTGCACTTATAGGCATGAGCCACCATGCCCAGCCCATTTTCTTTATAATTGATGTAAATTTGATTAGCAGAGATCTGGAAGAATACTCAGAAACTTCAGGGTGTTTATGTGTGTTAAGTGGCCAGGACAGTGGCTGCTCTGCCAGTGCTGCCTGGACCCACATGGCTACCAACCACAGGGCACTTGCTACTGTGTGCCAGCCCCACAGTCAGGCCTCTGCCCCCACAGACTTCCTGGATGCTGTGCCCGTCCCATCCCACTCTGTGCCGCTGCCCCAGCTTCTCCCCTGTGGGATGCCTTTTCCTGGAATCCCTCAGCAGCCTCTGCTCACTCGCTGAGGGCCAGGCCTGTGTCCCCTTTGGATGATTTTCTGAGACTGTGCCTGTGAGCAAGTCCCACCCTGTGCTCATGGTGTCACCTGTGGCTGCGCACAGAGCACCGTGGGAACCCAGAGAGGAGGCAGAGGCGGATGGAAACTGATGGCGTCGCCGGTGGGGCTGTGGGCAATGCTCGGGCTCCCGAGGAGACAGGAAGTGGGTGGTTGAGGCAGCTTTGGCAGAGGTGACAAAGAAAGGACTGAAGGTGAGCGGGAACCACGTGTGGGAGGGTGCAGCCACACCCTCCGTGTGGATGAAGCTGTAAGTGAGGCAGCCAGCCCGGCAGGCTTTCTGGAGGAGGTGGCGCTGCCCGGGGAAAGCTAAGGTGTTTCTGTCTGTTTGCTCTGCCCAGGACCCCTCCAGACACCAGGCCGTTCTGGGCACGGCGTTCCTGGTGCTGGCAGTGTTTTTGGCCCTCTCTGTGCTGGTGTATGTCGAGTGTCTCCTGCGGCGCTGGCTCAGGGCCTTGGCGTTGCTCACCTGGGCCTGCCTGATGGTCCTGGGCTACGTGCTGGTGTTCGACGCGTGGACGAAGGCGGCCTGTTCGTGGGAGCAGGTAACGCGGGGACTCTGGACTCCCTGACGGCTGCATCCTCAGCAGCTCCCACCCTGCGGTTGGGCGCTGCCGCGGGCCCTTCCTGCCCCACGTGCTTGGCTGTATGTCTAGGATGGGCCTGGTCTGGTTTTGTCCCTGAGTTCTCTGCACTGACAGGGCTGAGAAGAGGGAACATTCCCTTGGATGTCAGGCTGCAGCACTTGCGGGGCCTTTTCTCAACCAGCTCAACCTGCAGGCTTGAGCTTCACTGGCCTGGCCGGGGTCACCAGCCCAGTCCTGGACAGTCACTGTCACCAAGCGGTGGCACACTCTGACCAGTGGGCCTGGGTCCTGTGACAGCTCCTGGGGCTGGGGCAGGCTGGGATGAGGCCCAAGGAAACTATGGGGACTGAAGGGGAGGGAGGGGGCACCACTCCCAGAGGGGTAGATGCAGGGCCGGTCAGTGGGGGCGACGGGAGGGCAGGTGGGGCCGCACTGCTGGAGGCAGCTGGTGAGAGGGAGCCCCAGCCTCCTGGTGATCACCATTCCTGCCCAGAGAGCCATGTGGGAAGGGCACCAGGTGGGGGCCCCTGGATCACATGGACCATGGAGCCTCCCACCTGGGGTGGCCACAGGCAGTGGATCTGCACAGGAGACCATGAACCACGTGGCTGGGCCCATCCCAGAAACACATTCTGGCTTTTCTTGTTCCCTTGTATGTCTGCCCACATGGCGGGGTGAGGGGCCGCCCTGAGGACACTCACTGGGTGTGCTGGTGTGGGGCAGGCTTCCGGGGGCTGCAGGGCTCGGGCGGCACGTCGGGGCACTGGGCTCACGAGGCTGCGTCCACAGGTGCCCTTCTTCCTGTTCATCGTCTTCGTGGTGTACACGCTGCTGCCCTTCAGCATGCGGGGGGCTGTGGCCGTGGGGGCCATCTCCACCGCCTCCCACCTCCTGGTGCTCTCCACTCTGATGGGAGGCTTCACGACGCCCAGCATCCAGGTGGGGCTACAGGTGAGGGATGGGCCAAAGCCTCTGGGGAGGGGGTTGTGGTCTGGGTCTAAGGGCAGATGGGGGCCCCCTCTGGGTGAGTTGGACCCATAGGTCCCAGAGCCGTGTTTGCAGACAGCCCGCTTCCGGGCTGGGCCCTCTCCAAGTCTGCTCCAAAGCTGGGCTCCCAGGGGTGGCTCTGGCCTCCAGCTTCGTTTTGCTGGCCTAGGGCTCCCGTGTGGCTCAGCCCTCAGGGTCCTGACCTCAGGCCCTCCCCTCTGGTTCAGGGGCACTGTTGTGGGGTGAGTCCCGTTCCCAAGGTTTCTCTCAGTCCCTGTCCTGACAGAGCTGGGGGAGTTTCCCAGGACACTGCCTTTTGTCTTTGTGTTGAATGAGTAAACCTTTTGTTCATAATTATTGGGGGTTTAGAGATACGTTTTCCTCCTGATCATGCCTGGGGTCCTTTCTGGGCAGAGGCTGAACCTCTGCACAGCCAGCTGGGCGCTGTGCCCTCTGGGACTACCCTTAGCACGCATACCCCTCTGGCCCTGGGCTCTGTGAGGTGGTCTGTTCTGCTTCCCTGGGCATCCTTGTCTTGCGGTCCTAGTGACTCACTAGGAGACTAACCCCTGTCTGGACCTCAGTTTCCCTGTCTGCCCCAGGAAGACTGCCATCCTCAGTGGGTTGGGGGTCAGGAAATGGGAAGGGAACAGTACCATCACGAGTCTGCCTAGGGGTCTGGTGTCCTGGGAGGGCATGGGCCAGGCCACATCTGACCCCAGCCGTGCCCACCCACAGCTGCTGGCCAACGTGATCATCTTCCTATGCGGGAACCTGACTGGTGCCTTCCACAAGAACCAGATGCAGGATGCGTCCCGGGACCTCTTCACCTACACTGTGAAGTGCATCCAGATCCGCCGGAAGCTGCGCATTGAGAAGCGCCAGCAGGTGGGACGCGGCCCCCACTCCTCACCCTACGCACCCCTGCCCTCTTCCTTTTTCTGTTGGACATGAGACGTTCGTGGCGCCATGTACGAGAGGTGCATGGCCAGACACCCATGCAGCTCTCACCTCGGTCAGTCCTGGGCTCCAGCCGGGTAACCAGAGCCTGTAACTCTTGACTCTGCCTTCCTCTGTGTGGTTTCAGTCCTGGGCAGGCCGTCCCCAGGTGGTGGCAGAGAAGGCCATAATGGCTCCAGGCTGCCCACCCATTGCTTAGCCTCCCCAGCTGAAAGAGCCCTTTCTCACTCAGCCTGAGTCCTGGGGGCTGCTGGGGACATGGGAGGTGGATGCCCAGCTGGGTTGGCGGAGGACCGGAGCAGAGATGGGGGCATTGTGGGCAGAGCAGGCAGGTGGGCAGGGAGGACAGGGGCCAGGTAGACCAGGTCTGGGCCCTGATGCCGCCCTGCCTGTCCCCCACCGGTCCACCCTCTGGTCTGCCTGCCTGCCCCCAGGAGAACCTGCTGCTGTCGGTGCTCCCGGCCCACATCTCCATGGGCATGAAGCTGGCCATCATCGAGCGACTCAAGGAGCATGGCGACCGCCGCTGTGTGCCGGACAACAACTTCCACAGCCTCTACGTCAAGCGGCACCAGAACGTCAGGTGGGCGGCGAGCCGTGTGGACAGTATCTCCTGGGGGCTGAGCTCACCGCCCTATCTGGAGGCTCAGACCCCTGCCCAGGCATCCCTGCTCCAGGCAGCCTCCCACCCTATCTGGAGGCTCAGCCCCTTGCCCACGTAGGAATTGGGAGAGGGCCCTGTGGTCCCAGGTCAATCCAGGGCCCTTCCTGGGCCTCAGAATCCGTACCTGTTTCTGAAGGGGTAGGATCAGATCAGGGCTCTTAGGACTCGTTGGTTTTGGGGAAGATGTAGCAGCCCCCGAAACTGCCAAACTGTGTGAGTAAACATAGCTTTTTGAAGGAAGGGGTCCTTGCAGATGGTTCTCAAGGGGGCACAGGACCCCCAGAAGGAGGCAAAGCCCCCTGCCTTGGTGCCGAAGAATGCCCCAGTTCTGACACCTGTCCTTGGCTGATTCACAGGGAGCCACAGTTTTACTTGAATGCACTGACCTGAGTTTGTCAAGTATAGATGTGGGTACTGGGTGCTGTTGAGTGTAGATGTGGGTCCTGGGAGACCCCCTGGTCCTCTGCCTGTAGTGCCAGCATTATATCCAAGGCTGGCCCACTGCCTTTTCTCTGGACTGTGCATGGTCCATGAGCTCAGGACTTTGGAGCAGGGACATGGCGCAGATTCCAGCTCCTGGCTTCTTAGCAAGTCTCAGTGTCCCAGAGCTTCAGTTTGCACGTCTGTAGAGTGGCAGTTCTGCAAGAGCTGTATGAGCACTGGATGCCTGTAAAGCGCTGGGCATGGAGGTTGTGTTGAGAGAGCACAGAGCCACCTCTCTTCAGGGATTTCTGAAGTCTGTGCTATGGCGAACATTGGATGGGCAAGAGGAATGCTCTGTGACAGCTGAAGTGCCCTTCAGCTGTCTGCAGGGATGGAGCTGGGGTAGGCCCGAGGGCTTCTGCAGGTTCTGGGCTTTGCTCCCTTTGGCTTTAATGTGAAGCCCCTGGAACTTTAATCTTTGTGACCGGGTACGACTCTCCCATTCCTATGGAGGTTGAGGAAGGGCAGGGGTGATTGGGCCCAGGCCTGGCAGGCTCCTGGGGCTCCAGACAGTCCCCCGTGCTTCTGCTGCCCCATCCAGGGGCCTGGCTCTGACATCCCCTCCCACCCTGCTCTTTCCCCAGCATCCTCTATGCGGACATCGTGGGCTTCACGCGGCTGGCCAGCGACTGCTCCCCCAAGGAACTGGTGGTGGTGCTGAACGAGCTCTTTGGCAAGTTCGACCAGATCGCCAAGGTGAGCCTGCCGGCCTGTGCTGGGCAAAGCCACGCCCCTCCACTGCCCGTCTCATCCCCAGGGGTGTCCTGTGTTCAGTGCCCTGCTGGGATTGAGTTGGGGAGGCCATGGCTGAATTTTAGCATCCAGCCAGCAAACACATATGAGCACCCCATGGTAAAGGTGGAGGTGAGTGGTGACCACAGCAGCCAGGATCCTGTGCCCCCAGAGTGTGAGGCTAGTGGGGAGACTGCCAGGGCACACTGGGCAATGTACTGGGGCTCCGGAGCTCAGATGTGGGCTCAGGAGGAGGAGATGGCTCCATCCTCACTGGTAAGCCCAGAAGCTTGTGTTCACCTGGTAGCTCAGGAAGACTGTGGAATGCCCCACCTCACCCAAAAGCAGCTTTTGACAAGCTCTGAGGTGAACCATGTGCACATTAAACTTTTATTTTTGTTTGTTTTTGTGAGACAGTCTTGCTCTGTCACCAAGGCTGGAGTGCATGGGTGTCATCACTGCTCACTGCAGCCTTGACCTCCCAAGCTCAAGCGAGTCTCGTGCCTCAGCCTCCTGCAGAGCTGCGATTACAGGCACATGTCACCAAGCCTGGCCAACTTTTCGTATTTTTTGTAGTGATGGAGTTTTGCCATGTTGGCTAGGCTTGTCTCAAACTCCTGACCTCAAGTGATCCTTCCCCCTCGGCCTCCCAAGTGCTGGGATTCCAGTGTGATCCACTGCTCCTGGCCCAACTTAAAGTTTGAGACACTTGAAAAAAATCTCTGAGGAGGAAAGGGAACAGTATTTTTGGCAGGGGGAACAGCATAGATAAAAGCCTGGAGTGGAGAGAAAGCCCTGTGTATCCATGGGATGAATGTGGCTCAGTGTGCATGGAACAGGGTGTGAGGGGGCAAGGGCATCAGGTCAGACATGCAAGGATGTGAGGGCCGAGGCAAGGACCGGGATGCTGAGGAGCTCGGGAGGTGCCAGGCAGGAACGGGAGTCAGGCAAGGAATGTCTCCACTGACGGACCAAATGGTCCTGAGAGAGGCTGAGTGCCAGGCCCTGAGCCTGGGTGGGGCCTTGGCCTACATGGTATATGCTCCAAAGAGAAGTGCAGGGGCCAGGGACCCTGGGGAGCACCTGGCCCAGCCTCAGATGGTCAGGGCAGACTTCCTGGAAGCGGTAGCCATTAAATAGAGTCTAAAGTGTAAGGTTTAAGGCGGCAGCTTCCTATCCTGGCTGTACGTGTGAATTACATGGAAAGCTTAAATACAACACCAACACCCGTGTCCACACCCATCAGAGTTTTATTTTGTTTTGTTTTTGAGACAGAGTCTTGCTCTGTCACCTAGAGTGAAGTGCAGTGGCAGAATCACCGGTCACTGCAGCCTTGACCTCCCCGGGCTCAGGTCGTCCTCCCACCTCAGCCTCCCAAGTAGCTGAGACTACAGGTGTGCACCACAACCCCTGGCTAATTTTTTGTGTTTTGTGGGGATGGGGTTTTGCTATGTTGTCCAGGCTGGTCTTGAATTCCTAGGCTCAAGTGATCCACCTACCTGAGCCTCCCAAAGTGCTAGGATTACAGGCATGCACCATCACACCTGGCCCCATCAAAATTATTAAGAGCTCCCCCCTCACCGATGACTCTGTGCAGAAAATCAATGTTCTAGAACTTGATGGGAGGCAAGTTATGGCTTCACGCTGGGAAGAATTTTTCATAATCAGAGCTGCTCAATCCTAGGAGGGACTGGAGGGGAGCTCCCTGCCACAGGGGTAACCAAGCTGCTGTAGGATCGCACTGGTCAGGGACTCTCTGGAAAACTGTCCCATCCTGGGCATTGTGGACTGAGTGACTCAGAAGTCTAGCCTGGAACCTTCCTTCAGGATCTGCATAGCTTCTCAACCAGCAGCTGAGAGACCCAGAGGCTAGGTCTCATGGGAGGGGGCCTGGGCTCGGGCCACAGCTGTCCCTTTCCTTACCATAAAGCCCACACAGAGGGTCCCTGGTCTCTTGGACACAGTTTTCCCTCCCCAGCAGGGCTGGGAGGCATGGCCCTATTGCACAGATGGGGAAAGGGAGGCCACGGCAGGTGCAGGCTTCCTGGTCCGAGCATCTAATCTCTGGGCAGAGTCAGGCAGGGCTGATCGCAGCCTTTTCTCCTATCAACAATCAGATTCCAGAAGTGTAAGCTCTTTCCGAGAGCCAAGGCCTCCTGTCTCAGAGGCATACATGTGGCACCTCAGCACAGGACCCAGCTCCCCAACTCCAAGTGTCAGAGACCCAGGGAACCGTCAGCCGGCTTGCAGCCTGGGGAACGTGACTCCCCTACATCTCTGAGAGCCGGGCTGGGTCCACGGGCAGTCTTGTGCCTGGTTTGAGAGGAGATCAGGTCAGCCAGCGTCCTGAGTCAGCGCCTGGCATCCAGGTCTGCCAAGGTTGCCTGCTTTCTAGGAAAGCCACTGTCCTCGTGTCCCTGCAGTCACTCACTCAGCATGTGCCAGATGGGGCCCGGCAGGAAACATCTGGCACACTCTCAAACTGAGTAATTGGAGGAGGGTGCAGACCAGGGACAGTTCCCAGACTGGGCGGGTGCAGGAGACCTGGAGGCAGGGCTGCTGCTGTGTCTGGGGCCTGGGTCCATGATGGCTGATGGGCACAGAGGGGGGACAAGGAGAGGATGGGCTGGAGACCTGGAGACAGATGGTGTTCTAGGAGCAGGGCTAGCCCTTATGACCCTGTAGGACGGAGCCCTCTTAGCTCCCTCCCCACCAGACACCGGAGCACAAGGCCACCTGCTGGGGTGTCCAGTCCAAGGGGGTCGGCTGAGCAGGGTAAAGGGTGGGGACGGGAGAACAGAGGCAGATGTCCCGTACGTCGCTCCTTCTTCAGCTCCCCTAAAGCCCCGCCCATGGGGCCTCAGTGCGTGTGGCCACCCCTGCTGAGGGCTTAAGGAGGATTTGGTGACACAGCACTGCCTCAGATGAACCTCAGAGGGCCCACGGGGGCCCCCTTCCATCCCTGGGCCTTTTCCTAAGAGTCTCTGGCCTCGCCCCTCTCCGTCTCCTCCCTCCCCATCCCTATCTTTCCCCTGCATCGATATCTTTCCTCCCTGCTAAGCTCTGGCAGCACAGCCACTGCTTGGGTGACCTTGACACATGCTGACCCCTTGGCGTGTGCACCTGTGACCTCAGTCCTTGTCCTCCGCTCCTCTGCAGCCTCTTCCCAGCTGTGTGGCCCCAGGGGTCCTGTGGGTGGCTGAGCGCTCTTCCTGCAGAGACTGACGCGGCTGGCTCTCTCTGTTCCTTGGGGTCTTAGCTCTAATAATTCTGATTCTTCCTCTGAGAGGTCCTCGCTGGCCTCCTGGGCACGTCGCCTCCCTCCTGTGCCTTGGTTTTCTTCTGAGCACCCATCACCGCTGGGCACACTGTTTTGTTTTTGTTTTTCTAGTTTAGCGCCCATCCCTCCTGCCTTTGTGTGAGCTCTGTGGCTGCGGGGATTTGCATCTGTTTTGTTCGCTGCTCTGTCTCCTTGCTTGGCCCAGGGCTGGGTACTCAGTAGGCACTCAAACATTATCTGGGCAAATGAAACCAAGGCAGAGCCCTCCCCGAGGCCCTTAGGAACATTGGTGTTCACCCCTGGTGCCTGCTTGGGGGCTCCTCCCGGGGAGTCCCCAATGTCACTAAGCCTTTTGCCAGGCCCAGAAGTGGCTCCTGGCGGCTGGACCCCGGGAGGCAGCCCCCAGCCAAGAGACAGCCAGGCACACCCTGGAGGGTAGGGGAGGTGGCTGTCGTGAGAGGTCCCAGGCCCAGACCTTCCAGCGACCAGGTCCCTCCCTCACCCTGCAGGCCAATGAGTGCATGCGGATCAAGATCCTCGGCGACTGCTACTACTGTGTGTCGGGCCTGCCCGTGTCGCTGCCCACCCACGCCCGGAACTGCGTGAAGATGGGGCTGGACATGTGCGAGGCCATCAAGTAGGTCCTGGGTGGGCCCAGGCGCTGGGTCCTGCCCCATGGCAGACCCATAGGGGATGGGTCATTCCCATTTCACAGATAGTGAAACTGAGGCTCGGGGGTTGAAAGCAGCTTGCCTGGACCACCCAGCCTGCTGGAGGATTCAGACCTCTTCTGTTTGCTTCCCTCCCTCTGGGGGTTGCCTATGACTCTGAGTCCCAGAAAGCGTCTCCGGAGCTCAGAGCTGGGTGACATGAGGTCAGGGCAGTGGGCTCCGCTCCTCTCAGGGATAGGGTCTTAGCAACAGCAGGAGGCTTCAGGGCAGGCAGCTGGGGGACCTTTCGGACCCAGGGGCCGACTGCAAGGCTCCATCTGCTTCCTGCTCCCCCTGTGAAGATCCTGGAGTCAGGCCTGGTCCTGAGGGTACGGGGAGACTCCCAGCTCTGGAGGCTCCTTCCTGATGGCACCCAGCTCCCCTTGAGGTCCCCTGTGGCTCTGAGCAGCTGGGGTCTGTGGGAAGAGCTTGCTGAGAGGGCTGTATGGTGGGGAGAGGGCCAGGCAGGCCCAGCCAGGGAGACCACTGTGGGGCAGAGCAGGGCCTGGCAGGGCTGCCAGTCCCCGGCGTAAGTCCCTGTCCTTCCTCCTGAAGTCCTGCCACAGGTGGCTGGTATTGCCAGGAAGAAGCCTGGGCAGAGCTGGAAGGGCCTGGCCCTGCTCCACTGCCTGTGTGACCACAGGCCGGTGTCCGCCCTGTAACAGGCAGGTTACACAGGCCCCCGTGCGCCTCTGGCTGTGACCCCGGGAGGCTTGGTCAGTGCCCAGCCTTGCTGGTGGACACGTGGTGCCACTTGTTATGGGGACTCAGGCTTTGTTCCTGTCTTGGGGGTCTTCTGTGCCCCAGGGAAACTCTCCCATGGGGCTCTGCTCCCGTACTCAATGGTGCCAATGACTCCCAGGACCCTGCTTCCCAGGGATTGGGGGGCATAAAAGGCACTCCAATAAATGTATTTATTTATTTATTTGAGACAGATTCTTGCTCTGTTGCCCAGGCTGGAGTGCAATGGTTCATCTTGGTTCACTGTAACCTCCACCCCCTGGGTTCAATTGATTCTCCTGTCTCAGCCTCCTGAGTAGCTGGGATTACAGGCATGTGCCACCATGCCTGGCTAATTCTGTATTTTTAGTAGGGACAGGGCTTCACCATATTGGCCAGGCTGGTCTTGAACTTCTGACCTCAAGTGATCCATCCACCTCGGCCTCTCAAAGTTCTAGGATTACAGGTGTTAGCCACTGTGCCTGGCCCCAGTAAACTTTTAAAACCCAGCCAGTGCTGCTGCATGTGTTTTAGGCCCATCATCATGAGCTATAGGACTAGTTGGAATTCCTCCTCCTTCCTACCTAGCCCTTGAACTCAGGTGTGGCCATACCCACTTGTATGCTCCTGAGGATGGGGTGCTCAGATCCTTCTGAAGAGACAGCCCCATCAGGCTGAGAACATTCTGTCTGTGGACTGAGCCTGCCCTGTTCCCAAACCCTGTCCTGTATCCACCCCACACCTCAGATCTTCAGACTGTCCCAGGGCTTAGGCAGGGTGGGGGTGACAGGGCCACTCTGCTCCAGGCAGGTGCGGGAGGCCACAGGTGTGGACATCAACATGCGTGTGGGCATACACTCTGGGAACGTGCTGTGCGGGGTCATCGGGCTGCGCAAGTGGCAGTATGACGTGTGGTCCCATGACGTGTCCCTGGCCAACCGGATGGAGGCAGCCGGAGTCCCCGGGTGAGGCTGGGCTGGGCAGCGGCAGGGCCAGAGGCCTGGGGCTGGTTGGGAACTGAGGGGTCTGGGTGGGGTCAGGTGTTGGGGGAGGGCTGAATGCAGAAAAGCCAGCCTGGGACCCGGACCTGGCTGCTGTGCACCCCTGGGTGGGTGCCAGCCTTCTCTGGGCCCCACGGCTCTGCCTGACTTGGGTCTTCTGCAGCCGGGTGCACATCACGGAGGCGACGCTGAAGCACCTGGACAAGGCGTACGAGGTGGAGGATGGGCACGGGCAGCAGCGGGACCCCTACCTCAAGGAGATGAACATCCGCACCTACCTGGTCATCGACCCCCGGGTACGAGGGCTCAGAGGCCGCAGCTGGGGGGACCCAGAGGGACTGGAGGGGCCCTCAGGAGCACAGCCCATACCTCAGGGGAGACCCCTTTGGAGGGAGAGGTGGGGAAGGGACTGCCCTGGCAGGAGTAGCTCCCTATTCCTGGGCACCTTCTAGGCGCTGAGTAGCCTCTCCTCAGGCTTCCGTTCTTTCCCATGTGATGGAAAACAAGGCCTGCCCCACCAAAAGGAGCTGATCTGAGTGAGGCCCCTGTGGCGCCTGGCACGTCACCGCATTCTATGAGTTATCGTCACTCTTGGTTTATTTCATGAGGTGGTTACTAATCTCCCACATTTCCAAGAGACACACTTTTGAAACATACTTTGGATGAGACTCAGGAAAGCCAGGAATGGCCCAGGGGCCACTGTGCAGGAGTCGCTGTGTGTCCTAGGCTCCGACCACAGTCCCCCTGGTGGCTCCAGGACCCCACGCTGGGAGAGGCAGTTCCACTGCCTCTATGCACGTGGGGCCCGCCCCAGCCCGTCTGCTGCCCGCCCCTGGCCTGCTAGAGGGAGGCCGGCGTGTCTGGCCACTGGTCTGTGAATCATCCTCGTGGCTTGCTCAAGAATGTTGGCCCAGCCGGCAGCGAGTGACTTCTTACTCTGGTCCTGGCTGTGCCTTGGGGCTGGCCCGAGTGCTAGAACCCGGGGTGGGGGGCCAAGGGCTGGCCTGTGAGCCTCCCTACGCATCTGCTGGCCTCACTCTGCCCTCCAGGCCTCTGGTGCCGTGCCATCCATGCTGAGCCAGCGTCTGGGAAAACCCTTCCCCCTACTTGTGTCCTGCTCCAGCACCCACTTAGAACAGGGCCCTGAACCTCACCTGCATGCCGGCCCTGTCCCCACCCCTCCAGGCCCTTCCCCTGCTCTCCTGTCCCATCACCCCACCCGGTCCCCTCCTGCCAGGCTGGTGGCTGCCTGCAGGTCCTGCACCCAGAACGCTCCTCCCTCTGTAACGCTCCTCCCTCCATCCCTAATGCCCTTGTTTGTTTACCTGTTTTCCTTGCCTGTTATCAGCCTCAGCGCCATGTGGTGGCCCCTCCTCTTCAGGCCACAACCCTGACCCCGTGCTGAGATGGGTGCCCGGCTCGAAGCTGATGCTCAGACAGCCCTTGCATGAATGAAGCAGAGCCCCTCACCCAGGAGGCTCTGAAAGCCATCCCTGCAGGCTGCCAGGTTGAGCAGGGGAAGCTGCCGGCCGTCTGGGCAGACTTGAATTTCAGATAAATGTGAATCCTGTTTCTTGCATGAGTGTCCACGCACTACTCAGCTGGGCAGTTGGATTTATCTGGCAGCTCCACCCTTTCCCCACCCCACCCTACCCCACCCTTTTTTTTTTGCTTAACTTTATTCATTCAGGTGGTTGAAAGTTCAAAAGGTGTGAAGGGCAGGTTGTGGAAAGACTCCTTGTCCCCAGCCGGCCCATCTCCTCAGAGGGGGTGTGTGCAGCGAACTTCTTGTGTTCCCACAGGGATTTTCATGCACAGAGTGAATTGTGAGTCCCCCCACCCTTCTTGCTAAGGCAGTGGTGGCAAGCCCCATGGTCGTGCACCCTGCATTTCTCCTACCTTGGGGACACTCCTCCTGTGTGCAGGGTGCTTGTCTGTAGCTCCTGTTTTTGACGTGGAGGTGAATTTTCTGCACTGGCTTCCGTGGGCTCTGTCTCGCGCTGTTGCTGCGTGGCCTGGCTGGGGCAGGACGGGCTCCCGTGGACTGGATGGTGGCTGCAGGTGCCCTGTGGGGCTCATACTGATGCCATGCCCATTCTGAGCAGGCAGATGTTTGCTCAGAACTGAGGAATCTGATTTTTTACTTATTTCTGCTTTTTATTTGTTTCTCAGGGAGCTGGAGTGTCTGGTTTCCCTGCTATAAGAGAAGTGGCAGAGTTGCCATGGTGGAGGAGGGGACGTAGAAATGCACCTGTGCCCACCAGGTTGCCCACTGCAGGGCCAGCACGCCCTTCCTACTCTGGGACACTCACCAGGGCCGAATTCCACATGGCTCTCGTGGCTAGGGAGATAGACGTGGCTAAGGGCTTAAAAATATTTCTGTCCCAAAAGGTGGCGAGTTTTCCAGGAAGGTTGTGCTCTGGCGTAGCGAGTGTTTGTAGCTGCGGAGGCTCATCCACGGCGTGTTTGCTTTTGCTGGAGCCAGCATTAGCTCAACTCTGGCAGCCTGGCAGGCCTTTCTCTTCCCTGCCCCTTTCCCAGTTTTGCCTGGCCACTCCAACTGGGGAAGGCCTCAGGCGTGTGCTCTTGCAGGGGAGGGTGGTGGTAAGGCAGGGCTGGCCATGCATTCACGGCCTGGCTGAGCCACTGAGGTCTGGCGTGAGGCTGGGTCTCGCAGGCACATGGCAGGTCATGGCCCTGTGCCATCTGTGGTTGGGAGCCACAAAAGTGGAACTCCCTGGATCACTGCCTGGCTTGCTCTGGCTTGGCCACTTCTCGAGGCAGTCAGCACCCCTCTTCCTCCTGGGTGCCTCCCACAGGAAGGAGCGTGCGCATGCCGGCCACATGTGGGAGGGCAGGGTAGGATGCCTGTGGCTTTCCCAGGTGGCTCCTGGGAGGGGCTGACGGGTGCTCAGGCCCCAGGGACACTCCCATTCCAAGGAGCCTCAAGGGCCGTGGGGCCTCAGGCTTGGGACCTGAGCCCTGCATCTCCCCCTGGGGAGGCAGAGCAGGGGGTGGGGCTGGGTACAGTGGTGGGTACCTGGTAGCCTCTTCTCAGCCTGGGGCAGGGCCAGAGCACTGAGTTGGGATCCCATATGGCCTGGCCTCAGAGTGCACCGGGCTTTGGCTGTCCAGTCCCCAAAGCCCATTCTCCAAGGGCACTGCAGGTTGAGCACCTTCTTTGACGTTTATTTTTTCACGGGATCAGCCAGTGCTGAGGGTGGTGTCACACTTCAGGGAGAGTCAGTTGGGGGTGGCGGCCCCTTCCTGGAGAGAGGGTGGCACAGGCCCATGTCTGTGTCTGCCCACAGAGCCAGCAGCCACCCCCGCCGAGGCAACACCCCCCCAGGTCCAAGGGGGACGCAGCCCTGAAGATGCGGGCGTCAGTGCGCATGACCCGTTACCTCGAGTCCTGGGGGGCAGCTCGGCCCTTTGCGCACCTCAACCATCGTGAGAGTGTGAGCAGTGGCGAGACTCCCATCCCTAATGGGCAGAGGCCCAAGGTATGTCCCCCTTTCACCCAGAGAGCCAGGGATTGGGGCCCCAAGCTGGGGACAGGAGAGTGGGTGCTGAAGATCTCTCACCCTGTTGGCCTCACTGTCCCCATCTATAAAATGGCCACAGCCTCTGCCCCACCTCCTGGGGCTGGAGGGGAAACAAAGGCATTTGGAGAATACACCAGGGTGGCCAGGAACGTCCCTGTCCTCCTTGGTGCCTGGACCATGCTCAGCTGTAGTCAGGATGTCTGTGGCTTGGATGACCCCTGACACCTTGTCCTGCATATCAAGTATCAGAAGGGCTGCACCCGGCCCATCGGTGTGCTTTAGAGCCCAGCGTTCTGGGGAATGACTGTGTCTTCTACCTTCCCTTTCAGAGCATTCCCCATCGCCACCGCCGGACCCCTGACAGGTGCGTGCCCTGCCCTCCTGGCCAAGTCCTGCTGCAGCCACCTCCTCCAGGCTGGCTGCCCTGACCAGCCTCTGTTCAGTGGGGAGCTCTGCGAGGCCCAGCCCAGGACCTCTGTGAAGTTGGCCAGGGCTTCTAGGAACCAGAGTCAAAGAGTTTCTAGGAACCAGAGCTTTCTGGTCCCTGGCTCTTCCACATGGCCATGATGGAGCGCCTGTTGTGTGCTGCCCTGGTGGGGTCAGTGGAGTCAGTGGGAGGGAAGGAGATGCCGGTGGGTGTTCTGGTCCCCATGCCAACCCTGGGGGTGTAGCCAGAGATGCCTTGGACTGGGGCTTGGGTCTGCCCTCTGCTTGTGGCTGGGCCGCTGGCCAGCTGGGCCATGCTGGGCGATGCTGGGTCCTCACTTGCACGCTCTGGGCCTCAGTGGGTCCCGCCCATTCCTTCACCATCCCACATGAGGTTCTGGAGCTCCACCGGTGTCCACGTCCACACCCTCCTCTGGGAGAGTCAGAGGTGGTCTCTGCGCTGATGTAGCTGGGGTATCTGATTCCAGGAGCATGTCCCCCAGGGGGCGGTTGGAGGACGACTCATATGACGAGATGCTGTCAGCCATCGAGGGGCTCAGCTCTACGAGGTGAGGCCTGAGACCTCTGCCCAACCCTCACCTCTCCCCCTTCAACAGGGGTCCCACATATGGGCAGGCCCACCTCATGCCCCATGCCCAATGGCCCAGCCCTGTTCCATCCCCCGTCTGCTGCTGCCTCCCGAGGGACTGGACCCCCTCCCAGTCCCAACTCACTGCCGAGGGCCCCACCCACAGGCCCTGCTGCTCCAAGTCTGACGACTTCTACACCTTTGGGTCCATCTTCCTGGAGAAGGGCTTTGAGCGCGAGGTGAGGGCCCCCAGCCGCCTTCCCCCAGAGGGGCGGGATCTCCAGGTCTGGGGTGGGGTGGGGGACGCAGGTCACAGGGCAGCCTGCACTCCCAAGACTGGCGTGGGGAGGGGCATGGAGAATCCACAGCTGCTCCTGGGCAGGGGTGGGGCCAGCACAGCGCCAGCCTGGCTCGGTTTCCTGCCGGCCTCATTCCATGACCCGAATGCCCCACCAGAGATTTGCCCCTGTAGGTCTGCAACACTTTTGCTCCATCCAGTGCCAGAGCCTTAGCAGGTCCTGGCATGGATGCCTCAGGCTGACGGCACTGGCCTTGCAATGAGACGAGACCCCAAAACTCAGTTGTCAGTGCCCTGTCTTGCTGCTACGGGCCTTTTGTACTGAAAATGACCATTTCTTTACTGAGTGCCTTCTGGGTTTTGGCAGCGTCCTCGGCACCCACATTATATGATTTAACCCTCACACCGCCGACCCAGGGGTGCTGCTCTACCACTTCACAGACAGGAAACTGGCTCTCAGGAGCTCCAGAGCCTGTCCCAGCTGCAGGTGTGGCCCGTCAGAGAGGACGGACCCCCTCATTGCTCCACGGCGGGTGGGGAGCCCCTCTCCCTCAGCCCAAGGAAGTGGCGCCCAGAGTCCAGGATTGGGGGGATTCCCTCTTTGGGGGCCCCCTGAGTTGGGGGCTTCCTCGGTGAGGTCACCAGGAAGCGTGCCTGGTGGGCCTTGCCGGCTGAGTGACGCTGCAGGCTGTGTGGCCAAGCATGCTTTCCTTCCTTGCAGCAGAAACCCTCCCTGGGCTGTGATCCCACGATGGCACCTGTGTGGTGGGGGCTGTGGCATGGGAGTCTCCCCACCTGCCAGCTCCCTGGTTTGGGGCGAAGACAGCCCCAGAGCTCAGACTTGGCTCCTGTCCATGTACTTGGAGCCGTGAGCTCTGCAGGGACCTTGGAAAGAGTGACTCGGGTGGTGTAGGGGAGGGGAAGACATTATCTTCAAATAGGAAGAACTGCGATTGGAAACAAAACTGGAACTCCAGCATGGTGGGAGGGTTTCAATTAATTAATTCATTTTTAAACTAGAGATGGGGTCTCACTGTTTTGCCCAGGCTGGTCTCAAACTTCTGGGCTCAAGTGATCCTCCTGTCTCGGCCTCCCAAAGTGCTGGGATTACAAGTGTGAGCCACTGTCCCAGTGAGGAGGTGTTTTTTTAAACCTGGTTCACTGGAGCCAGGTGGGCAAGTGGCCCCGCAGGTGGCCACCCCTCACAGACCCTGTTGCCCCCAGTACCGCCTGGCGCCCATCCCCCGGGCCCGCCACCACTTCGCCTGCGCAAGCCTGATCTTCATCTGCATTCTGCTTGTCCATGTCCTGCTCATGCCCAGGTCAGTTGGATTGGGGGTATGGGGGTCCAGCCTGCTGGGATCCAGGCTGGAAGGTGACTGTGGCAAGACCCATCAGAGCACCTGCAAGGAGCTTCGTGATTTGGGCTGGAAGGGGTCGGCTGCTGGAGTCTGAGAAACTGGACCAGCGTTTGTGGCTGCACACCTTGAGTTACCAACACTACTTTTTAATAGAATGTGTTTTCTGCCACAGGCCTCCCTACTCCCTAATGTCTCTCTTCTCAGTCACCTGTCTTATGTGTGGCCTGCAGGCATTTTGCTTGTCAGCCCTTGCCTTAGGTGTTTGGAGGGCTAGGAGAACAGACTCTGAAAACTTTAGGCACTATCCTTTCTTATATGCAGGGACATGGAGATGCAGAGGGCTAATGATTTATCCAGAAGTCACTGGGATTCATGCTTCTGGCTCTAGATCCCTGCTGGGTGGGGTATAGGGATGAGAGTGAAGTCAGAGGGAAGGGATCTGAGGTCAGCTACTTGGTTTCTAGAAGAGCAGTTAGGCCAAAGCATAGACCAGGATTGTGGTTTTGGATATGCTTAATGAAGACATAATAGGGAGGTGGGGTGCGGTAGCCCACGCCTGTAATCCCAGCACTTTGGGAGACCGAGGGGCAAATCACTTGAGGTCAGGGGTTTGAGACCAGCCTGGCCAACATGGTGAAACACTATCTCTACTAAAAATAAAAAAATTGGGCATGATAGTGCACGCCTGTAGTCCCAGCTACTTAGGAGGCTGAGGCCGGAGAATCACTGGAACCCAGGAGGTGGAGGTTGCAGTGAGCCGAGATCGTGCCACTGCACTCCAGCCTGGGCGACAGAGTGAGACCCTGTCTAAGAAAATAATATTAAAAAAGGGAACATGTTTTTACAGTTTTTCTGAGTCTAAAGGCTGCAGAGATATTGCTCATTTTTTATATACTTGGACCAAAAAGAGTGACATGGTCTTGACCTCAGTCTTCATGATCTGGCCAGGCTCTGTGTGTTGCCCATGTGGCAGCAGGGCCACAGTTTCCACAGGTCCCCTTTGCTGCGGGGAGAATAGCAGGTGTGGCAGGGACAGGGGGCTGTCAACCGGAGGATTGGCAGGGGCAGGGTTCCTGAGCAGAAGGCCCTAGGCAGAACCTAGGTTCTTCCTTCCTCTCTAGGACGGTGGCGCTGGGTGTGTCCTTCGGGCTGGTGGCCTGTGTGCTGGGGCTGGTGCTAGGCCTCTGCTTTGCCGCTGAGTTCTCGGTAAGTGGGGAGTCCTGACCCCTGGCCCCTCCCTCTCTGCCTTGGGACGCCTGCCCAAGAGCCCTCCCTGGTAAGCTTGGCTGGGCTGAGGTCAAGGCTAGGTGCCCCTTACTCCTGCTTCGGGGACAATTTCCTGAGTGCCCTGGAGGCTTCTCCTGAGGGTATCCCTCCCCAGGCTGCCAGTGGCCAGCCCTCCTTGTCCAGGCTGTTGGCTCTGGGTGACTCGACCCCATTACTCCACAGAGGTGCTGCCCAGCCCGGGGGATGCTCTGCACTATCTCCGAGAGAGTGGAGATGCAGCCCCTACTGAGGCTGACCCTGGCCGTCCTGACCATTGGCAGCCTGCTCACTGTGGCCATCGTCAACCTGGTGGGTCCTGGGATGGGGAGGCAGGCCTCCTGGGTAGAGGGGGAACCTCTAGATTTGGGACACCTACAATGTGGCCTTAAAAACTGCCTTGGGTTTACCTCTCCCCCAAGCTCAGGTGGCCCTGTGGGGTTCCCTTTTGCAGACTCAGGGCTCCTCACCTTTGGGTTTTCAAGAGGACTTTGGGGGCCCAGAAAGCTTGTGTGGCCAGCCCAGGAAGATGCGATGCCTTGAGCCACCACATCCTGACACCCCATTCATTCTTCATGGCCATGAGGCGATCCTGCCTCTCCTTGTGAGACTCAGTTTCCCCTCTCGAGATGAGCCCTGCTCCTCTGCTGGTGCTCAGAGGCTCAGTGCTGCAGGAGGCAGCCTGTGGGACACTTGTCCACCTCCCTCCCAGGCCCTGCCATGGCCTCTCCCTCACCTTTGCGCCTGGGTTTTTGGAATGTGTTCCTGTGACCACTTCCCGAGGGTCACCTGGGGAGAAGGTTGAAAATGCTGGTCCCATCCCCTGGCCGCTGCCTCTCTGGGGGTGACTGTGCACTCAACTCCCAGCCCCTCTGCACTCTGAACCTGACGGCTGCTGTGCTCAGAGCTGACCCCATCGTGAAACCTCAGGCTGCTGCGATACTCACGATTGCCTGGGGGCCACCTTGCTCGGGCTGGGTAGCCGTCCCTGGACCAGCTCTGATGGGGACCTGTCTCCTCTGCAGCCCCTGATGCCTTTCCCAGTCCCAGAGCTGCCTTTCGGCAACGAGACAGGCCTGCTGGCCATGAGCAGCAAGGCAAGGGCCCTGTGCGAGCCCCTCCCGGTGAGTGCAACAGGCCTGGCTTTGTGGCCTCACTCGGAGTGGGGCTGCTGCTGCCAGGGGTGTAGGTGGGAACCTCGAAGTATGGGTGCTGTGTCCCTGAGAGCACAGCACGTGGAGGCTGAGTCTGGCCTCTCCTACAGAGCTGGGAAAGCAGGGTCCCATGGGCTGAGTTGGGAGTGTGGAGCAGTCCAGGCCTGGGCAGGCTTGGTCTAGACGTTGTGGACAGGCAGGGAGTGAGCAGAGCATCTGCTGGCCTTGTGGGGGCTCCTGGTCAGGGCACTTCCTCTGTGGCAGGCCTGTGGCTGTTTTATCCACGAGTATGCGCAGCTCAGGGAGGGGCTTCATTAGGTGGTGGCACCAGGGCAGGCCCAGGCAGGTGGTGGGGCCTGGAGGGCCTCACAGATAGCAGCCTCTGCAGCTTCAGGGGGTGGCGGTGCAGTGAGCTGGGCCCTAAAGGGAAGAAAGGTTCTGAGACAGGGGAAAGGGGACAGTGTGGGAAAAAGCTGAGGTGTGTTGGGATTTGGAGTGGGTTGCCCTGGGGAGGGAGTAGAAGAGAACTGGGAGATGGAGCCAGGGGCAGGCTCGATCGACTGGGGGATTCAGGAATGCCAGGGTGAAGAGCGTGGTCTTTACTCTGGGGGCTGGAGAGCCACAGCACCATCTTGAGCAGGGCAGAGGGGCTTTGAAAGGGCAAGCTCACAAAAAACTCAGGGAGGCAGCTTGGATGCCGGCATGTTCTAGCCTTGACATTGACCATGGTCTGCCATATCCATGGCACCTGCATATTGTGGTTTTTTTTCCCCTTTAAATGAGCTCACTTCATATAAAACTACGGTGAAAACAACACAACACTGGAAACTCTTAGGTCTTGTTTTTTGCTGAGAAGGGAGGCAGCAAGGCGAGAGTGTGATGCTGAGGCACTGGGGGGGTGGGGCTCGGGGGTATGTGCTGGGCCTGAGGTGTAGGTGGTGGGATGGCCCTGTCCTGAGTGACCCCTCCACCCCCACCCAGTACTACACCTGCAGCTGCATCCTGGGCTTCATCGCCTGCTCCGTCTTCCTGCGGATGAGCCTGGAGCCAAAGGTCGTGATGCTGACAGTGGCCCTGGTGGCCTACCTGGTGCTCTTCAACCTCTCCCCGTGCTGGCAGTGGGACTGCTCCAGCCAAGGCCTGGGCAACCTCACCGAGCCCAATGGCACCGCCAGGTGGGGAGCCACCCCTGTCCCCATCCCCATGGTGGCCTGTTCATCTGGTGTCTGCTCACACCAAGGGGCTTCTGTGTTCATGGGGAGTGGGCACCTTTTGGAGTGGGGCTGGCAGACAGCCTAGCTTTCATCTCACAGTAGGGACCGAGGCTTGCCCAGGTCCCAGGTCTCCAGCGCTCAGAGCTGAGGAATTTGACTCACTGGCAGGTTCTTTAGGAAGTCCCCGGTCTGACAGAGGCCACAGGGTCATCCTGTTTCCAGGTCAGTCTAGTTGTGGGGAAGGAGGGGGGCTACAGTTCTATCTAGCTCTGTGCCTCTCAGGGCCACATCCTGGGTCTCAAGTTCTGAAAGGAGCAGTTGCTTCCATCTCTTCCTGGACAGGTGGTGATACCTGAAGCTCGGGCAAGTGTGTGGTTTTAGGCGCTCTGGGTCCCAAGTGGATTAAGGAGAGGAACTGCCCCCCAAGCCCCAAAACAAAAAAGCTAGAAGCCTGGGGACCCAGAACAGAATCTGCCCCTGTGGGTCTGCCCCTACACCTGCAGAATTCTTAAGCCACCCGTCCACCCCACCCCACCTGCCACCGACCCTGGCTCACCAGGAGCTCTGGGCTCCCTCCAGGCCCTCATTATGGCTGATTCTGGTCATCCAGGGGTGAGATATCAGAGGTCACCCCTGTGAGGGCTCCCCCACCTCCTGGCCCACCTTGCCTCTCCTCCCTTTATAACCTCAAGTTGTCTTGTTTTCTACCCACCGCCATTAGAATCAATTTTCCCCTTTCACCCTGGGTGCACGTGGCATCTGGAGAGCATGACTCCGTTGGTGGGTTGGGGCGGTGAGTGCTGGGAGTGACTCAGGCCTCCCTTCACATCCAGCGGCACCCCTAGCTGTTCCTGGAGGGACCTGAAGACCATGATCAATTTCTACCTGGTCCTGTTCTACATCACCCTGCTCACGCTCTCCAGACAGGTATGGAGGCTTCCCCTCCACCCCTGCCCCAGCTCTGCCTGCTCGTCCTCACCTCCACCTGGAGATGGGGTGGGGTGGGCTTATGTGGAGCAGCAGAGACCAGAGTCCTGCCAGGAAAGTGCTGGTTCCCTGGCCAGAGGTTCCAAGGACGCCAGGAACAGACAGACCTGGCAGGAGATGCATGCCAGCCCGGCCCTGCTCGCCTACAGACGGGCTACTTATGTACCCACCATTTGCAGATTGACTATTACTGCCGCCTGGACTGCCTATGGAAGAAGAAGTTCAAGAAGGAGCACGAGGAGTTTGAGACCATGGAGAACGTGAATCGCCTTCTTCTGGAGAACGTCCTGCCAGCCCATGTGGCCGCCCACTTCATCGGTGACAAGTTAAATGAGGTGGGCTGGGAAGGGGCAAAGAAGCGGAAGGTCCAGGCGCAGTCCGTAGGGTTTAGGTGTGGAGCTGGAGTGCATGCCGAGCTTGGCATCCTCAGGTCTTGGCCTCATCAGGATGCCCAGGTGATGTGTGGCATCAGCTGTGAGAGCACAGGCCTGGGGTCAGGAACCTGGGCTCGAGTGTGGTTGCGGACAAGGTACCTTGCTTTCCCGGGCCTTGGTCTTCACCTCTGTAAAATGGGCCGACAGCACTTCCCCACAGGATTGTGGTGAGGGTGAAATGTGTTCAGGGGTTTGTGATCTGGACATTCTGTATTGATGAAAATGTCTATACCTCCACCAGTTCTGGGTAGCAAGTTTTCTATATAGGAGACTGAGGCCCAGTGAGAACGCAGAACTCCCAACTGTCACCTTCCACTACTGCAGAGGTTCTCACACTATGTGTACACGGAAACACCCAAGGTGCTTCTGTGAGCAAAAAACCAACCAGAACCTGACTCTCCCTGGCCACCCGATTCTGAATTGCTCTGTAACAGCAGCTGGATGAACCTCATGCAGGTTCATCCCCAAAAAGCCGGCTGGGCAGTTCAGTGTCATCTGCTCCTGAGGCCTTGCCACTCTTCCCCTCCCCTCAAGAGGTAAAGTGGCGTAAGGACTGGTTTCTTCCCATCCAGGACTGGTACCATCAGTCGTATGACTGCGTCTGTGTCATGTTTGCCTCTGTGCCAGACTTCAAAGTGTTCTACACGGAGTGCGACGTCAACAAGGAAGGGCTGGAGTGCCTCCGCCTGCTCAACGAGATCATTGCCGACTTTGACGAGGTACGACTTTGCCAGCCCTATGTGGCAGCCCTACCCGTGCTGAGGAGGGCAAGGCAGCAGTACCTGCCATCTTAAACCCATTAAAAAATGCGACACAGAGCCGGGCGCAGTGGCTCACACCTGTAATCCCAGTACTTTGGGAGGTCAGGTGGGTGGATCGCTTGAGGTCAGGAGTTTGAGACCAGCCTGCACAACATGGTGAAACCCCATCTCTACTGAAAATACAAAAAATTAGTCAGGCTTGGTGGTACGTGCCTGTAATCCCAGCTAATTGGGAGGCTGGGGCAGAAGAATTACTTGAACCTGGGAGGCAGAGGTTGTGCTGGGAAGGGGTTGGGGCAGGCCAAAGAGGTGGAAGGTTCAGGCGCAGTCCATAGGGTTTAGGTGTGGAGGTGGGGTACACACCGAGCTTGGCTTCCTCAGGTCTTGGCTTCATGGGGATGCCCAGGCGATGTGTGGCCTCGATCATACCACTGCACTCCATCCTGGGCAACAAAGTGCAACTCTGTCTCAAAAAAAACAAAAAACACTGCTTCCCTGTAATATATTCTGAAAATGCATTACACAGTATATAAAGGGCACACATTTCTTTTTCATTGTTTTATGCAGCAAATATTTTACTGGCACCTTCTCTGTGACGGGCAGCTTGCTAAGATTAGACTCAGACCCTTTAGAAGAGCTTCATTTCCAGCTAAGCCCACGCTATCAACCAAGCCGATTCACAGGAAATCAGTTTGGGTTGCCTTCTTGCTAGAGACAAAGAATCCACATTCCTGTGTAGATAATGATGTGTCTGCTCTGTGCAGACCTGGATGGAAGGGAAGAGGGAGAGAGTGGGAATGGAGACGCCAGGAAGAGCAGGAGCCACCGGGGCCACGCCCCTCACCATGCTTAGTCATGCACTCAGCAGGCAGGGCAGTGTGACGTGTGTGCGAGAGGCGGCGGGTGGAGGGAACCCCACACCCTTCCTGAGGAGTGTGGGCAGCCTGGCTGCAGCTGTGGAGTGGCGTGACTGCTTTGCTCCTTCACTGCTTCCTTCTCACTGGCAGCTCCTGCTGAAGCCCAAGTTCAGTGGCGTGGAGAAGATCAAGACCATCGGCAGCACATACATGGCAGCTGCAGGGCTCAGCATCACCTCGGGGCACGAGAACCAGGTACTCAAGCCCAAGAGGGGAAATTCAGCCGATTATTCTCACTTAAAGGTGACCTGTCACCTTAAAGGGGTGTGTCCTTGTCCCATCTTGAGGGAGGAGTGCAGGTGCTTGCAGGGTTCAGCCAGGATTTTAGTGGTGGGGAATCCTCAACGAGAGGCATGCCAGTGCCCACTAGGTTTGGGGCTCTGGAGATGCAAGGACCTGACCCACACCCCATCCCGCAGGAGCTGGAGCGGCAGCACGCCCACATTGGCGTCATGGTGGAGTTCAGCATCGCCTTGATGAGCAAGCTGGATGGCATCAACAGGCACTCCTTCAACTCCTTCCGCCTCCGCGTTGGTGAGCCCAGGCGGGAGGGCAGGGGGTAGGCAGCCCCTGCCTCCAGGCCAGCCCACCCAGTCTGTGAGGCACAGCTGCGCCTCACCATCTATTATGAAAGGTTTTAGAAATCCCTCCCATCTGACAAGCTCAGTAATTGGTCAATTATTCTGACATTTTGCATAAGCATATAGTTACCATTGAGTTTTAGTAATATGTAACTACAGAATACAGAGAACCTTGGTTCTCAAGTGATCCACCTGTTTTGGTTCTCCCGTTTTCTGTAGTTAGGTATTATCGTCTGTGAATAGACAAAATACAGAGAAAGCAGCAAAGTTACTAAACCTAACTAGCTGTGGGCTTGCACTCAAAGCCAGACCTTTGTTAAAAGGGAGATTAGCAGGTACGAGTATTAACATCAAACCCAGACTTCTGGCTTCTGAGTCTGAAAAAGCTGGCCAGGGAATGCCCTCCTCACACCCAAGGCCCGACTGCATCATGGTGACTCTGGGAAGCAACCTAGCCTTAATTCTAGTTTTGTCCCCCGTCCTGTGCTGGGGGATGAATTTTCTGGCCTTCCCTGAAGGCAGAAGCCTGGGGCTTTGCCTGAATGCTTGGCCAACTATAAACATCATCTTCAGGCATAAACCATGGGCCTGTGATTGCTGGAGTGATTGGGGCCCGAAAACCTCAGTATGACATCTGGGGAAACACAGTCAACGTGGCCAGCCGAATGGAGAGCACTGGAGAACTTGGGAAAATCCAGGTAAAGACCCATCGGGGAAGCAGGTGACTGAGGGGAAAAGATCTTCCCCAGAGGTGGGGGGACTTGGGCTTCAGAGCTCCTGTCCCACCCAGCAGCCATGGTTCTAGCTATCACATTCTCCAGGGAAGGCAAACTGCATGCCTGGCCAGTCTATCTGTCCCCACCATGACAGGCGTTCTTACCACCTCTGAAGACATAGGTCTCTCTTCCTTTTCAGGTTACTGAGGAGACCTGCACCATCCTCCAGGGCCTCGGGTACTCATGTGAATGTCGTGGCCTGATCAACGTCAAAGGCAAAGGCGAGCTGAGGACTTACTTTGTCTGTACGGACACTGCCAAGTTTCAGGGGCTGGGGCTGAACTGAGGGCTCCTGCTAGATTCCGAGCAGTCTGGGAAGTCAATCTCCTTCCCTGAAGCAAGCCAGAAGACTCCGCCCCATGTCAATCCCAAAGGCACTCAGAGGGTGTGGTCACCTCCCGGCAGATGGCTGTGCATGTTGGCTTCTTTGGACCTGTGCTGGAGGATTTCTCAGACACATGCACCAGATTCTGGCTCGAAGCAGCCACTGAGCCATAACGCTCAGTGGCAACCAGAAACTCTGTGCCTGGTCTAACAGCTTCCAGGTTAGTTAGCTCTTAAGCCCAAGTCCCCTCTTCCAGAAGAATGTTCACTGGTTCAGGGCTGAGATCTTTGTTCCCTGAGGTGCTACAGAGGCGACTTTAGCACATGATGAAAACAGACGCCCACACGTCAGTGGCCTGTGAGCATGCACAAGTGAGGTGGTCTGTTTTTCTAGACACCAAGGAGGAGTAAGCTGAGCTGTCTAGCATGGACTGGAGACTCCCTCTCCCTGGGGGGCTGGGCAATGAGAGTGTTGCTCAGAAGCATTCTGGTAAAGGAAGCTGAAAGGGGCGTTTTACATCTGTAAAGCCTTTCAAACAGTAGAGAGAAAAACACCATAATTAACACTGTTACTTTTTGCCTTGTCTGGCATGTTTGTTTAAAATGGATATATTAATGGGGGTTTTATCCTCTGAATGACTTTTTAGACACTAGACAAAATCTCTTCCCTCCAGTGTATTCTCTGCATTTTTAACCACTGACATGAAGCAGGACTACTGTCCAGCATCAGCTTATGGGGTCAGCCGGCTGTAGGGTTTGAATCCTGAGGAATGTGGTCACAGCAAGAAGGGAGGGCGCAGTCGAGCCTTGGCTTTGAATGAGGCAGCTCGTGAGACAAGCATTCTGGAGAGAGATGCCTAGAAAGTAAGGGGCGGCCTTTCAGCTCTTCCTCAACTACTCACTCACCTTTGCTTTCTCCCCTGCCGTCCTTCAACTGTATCTTACTTTTCTTACTGGAAAGGAATGGAGTCTGTTTAGAAATAACTTGGACAACCTGTGGGTGAGTCTTTCCTTTCCTTTAGTCTTCAGAGCTAACTCTGGAGAGCTTCAAAACTAGAAGGATCTACTCAGCATGGGTACGTGCAGAGGCTCCTGGATCTGGGAAGCCAGCCCCCTCACAAATGCTGAGCTGTCAACAAATGAAACGACATGAGTCAAGGCAAATGCAAAAAGCCAGGTTTTTGGGATGTGTCTTACTGGGCTTCAAACTCCTCAAGAACCAGAAGTAAACCTAAGTGTTTCAGGGTGAGAAACAACCAAACTGTCTGTGCCTTTTTCTGAATGAACTTCATAACCAGAAGTCTTAACCAGTGGCCTCATCAATCCAGAGCATCTCTAGGATTTCTAATGCACTCAATTTCCTTACATAGCAGGGATTCTTAGCTAGAAGTTGCCATGAACTCCCTGAAGTTATACAGAAAGTCTTGCATACAGGAGCCTTTACAAGATTATACAGGGTTGCAGACTGGGTAGACTGACTAGACTTGTTGGGGTTCTGGGATGAGTTGCCCCCTGGTTGCAAATTAGAGTACAGCCAAGTTGGGGGGTGGCAGTGGAGGGGATGAAAATCGAACCTGCCAGCCTGTGCTGTGTCATGGGTGGCTTTATCGGCCCCAGGAAGGGCAGGCATGTTCTAATTTGCACAAAGCTACTGGGAGGACTAGTTGTAGCTCTGATGTGTTGCATGTAACTGGAATCAGTATGAATATAAAAACTTGCTGTATAAAAGTATTCCACGGCAACAGTGCTGGCAAGGGCAGTAAGCCTCACTTAAGCTGCCTTTTTTTTTTTTTTTTTTTTTTGAGATGGAGTTTCGCTCTTGTTACCCAGGCTGGAGTGCAATGGCGCGATCTCGGCTCACCACAACCTCCGCCTTCTGGGTTCAAGCAATTCTCCTGCCTCAGCCTCCCAAGTGGCTGGGACTACAGGCGCGTGCCACCATGCCCAGCTAATTTTTGTATTTGTAGTAGAGATGGGGTTTCACCTTGTTGACCAGGATGGTCTCGATCTCTTGACCTCGTGATCCACCTGCCTCGGCCTCCCAAAGTGCTGGGATTATAGGGGTGAGCCACCGCACCCGGCCTAAGCTGCCTTTTTTACACACCGGCTTTTCACATGAAGGGCTGGTTTCTTCTGAATACTGTACTGAAATCTGTGCTCTCAAGATCTAGCAGTGACCAGGGCTGCCTGGTGGGGGATCTCCTGGGAAGTCAGGAAGGTTGCTAATATAACATGGAAACACATCACTGCACTGGGCCTCTCTGAGGTCAGCATATCTGTACTCTTGCAATATTTAAGTTGCTTTTTTCTTCAGTAACAGAAACCCCAGTTGAGAGTTTAACAAGTAATTAATTACCATTCATGCATTTTTATTTTCAATTAAAGCACTGTGCTATGCTCAGATAATAATAGTTTGTAAGTTTTTAGTTTTCAGCGTTCAGGTTATAGAGTATAACTGACCATAAAAATGACCTGCAAGTATTTTCTTTTTATGAACCTGTTTTTAAATTACCAAGTAATTTATTTACTGGTGTCATTTTGTTTCATGACAGAAATAAGTACCTGTTCTAACAGTGACCTTCTCTCTATGGGTCAAGGACTTCCTTACAATTTCTCCTGAGTTAACTGGTGAAAATAATACCTGAAGTTTTCTGGCTTGAGAAAATTTCCTAACAGAAGAGAAGATCATTAACCACTGTATACTCTGTGTATATAATAGGTCAATGTAAAGAAATATGATTTGAGGTGGTGCATGCAAATAACTAGGGTTTATTCTGTATATTGAATATTTATATAGATCTGTAACATTTGTTTCAAAATGCTGTTTCATTTTTATAAAGCACCAGTGTTTAGCTGCTTTTTATACATTAAATTAGCAATTTGGTTAACTCGAATGTCCTAAGGTATTTTAAATTTAAATTTTCTTGGTCCTCAGGAACTCACCACAATTTAAAAGTAGACTCTAAAATGACTTGAAAATTTCACTCTTTTACCATAAGATTTTAAGTCTTTTGAGGGAATTTTCCTTTACCTTGCTTGTTCTTCCTAAATATTAATTTTCAAAGTCAGGAAAATGGAAATCAAATGGCTTCCTACCTGGGTGATTTATAGAAGGACTGTATAAGGGCCTTAATTTGTTCACTGAACAAGGCTATCTCCATCTTGATTTTTTTCCCTTGCTTATTTTATGTAACAGGTTCTATACTGAACCAGATTCAGAAAAATCACCATTTATCTCAGCTTGCTGGTATGTTTTGTGGTCTCCTAAAGAGTACAAACCTTTGTATTTCAGATAAATAGTAAATACAAATGTAACCTTCTGGTAATCTGGTAATTCCGATGTATTCAAGGAATATTTAGTTGATCTTACCTGAGTTATTACTTTGCTATAGTACTAAGTAACTCTTCAAAAAATGGAAATCAAAAACAAAAAAAGAACACTAGCCGTGTGACAGTGCTATAAAACTCCCAGTGTGCTTTTGGGGGGGTGGGGTGGTGGGAGATGCCTGATTATCCACACAAGGGCAGAACCACACTAGTAAATTCTAAAATTATTTTAAACATGTTTGTATAATGGAAAATCTCACTGGATGGGGCCGTTTTAAGAACGTTTCTTAGTGATGGTCCTGTCTGTGAAGGAAGAAGCATGGGCAGGCCCTATTTTTAAAGAATGCTGCCCAGGTATGGCAATAGCCCCAAGCACATTCCTTCCCTCCAAGGGCTTTTTGTATATATCACCAAGATGAGTCCCAGGTCCAACTTTATTACCTAATACAAGTCCAGCCTCTGGAACATTAAAATTCACTGTTCCAAAGTTTAATTAAAAACACAATTTACAAATATTTAATATCTTCTGAAAAGTATTTCTAAGAATGAAAAAGTATGTACATAATATATAATCAAATACCAGGCGGCCTCAACTCCCACCAGGTCCACACTCAGCAACATCCGTCTTTTTAGGTTCTTCAATATCTGAAAGAAAAAGACACCACTTAATTCAGCATTTTTTTTTTTTTTTTTTACCTTTTAATTAAAAAGGGGACATGAAGGTCAAGCTGCCATCCAGAAGTATAATGAGAGCCCCTCTTTACCACATCCAAGGCTGAAGACTAGGGGCATTACCAGGCTATCACTATGGCTTTTCCTGCATACATGAAATCTTTATTAACTCTTTAAACAAGATGGAAAGAAAACTAAGAGTAATTTTATACATTAAAAACAGACAAAATCTTTCAAGTGTTATTTGAAAAGGGAAGACAAATGTTCCTTCTACAGTTGGCTCTTCTTATCCATGTATTCCACATCTGCAGATTCAACGAATTGTCTATCAAAAAATACTTGGGGAAAAAACCCAATTAAAGACTACAATGAAAAAAGATACAAAAAACACAGTATATTAACTACATTATATTAAGTATATAAGTAATCTAGAGATGATTTAAAGTATACAGGAGGTTATGCATAGGGTATATGAAAATACATTTTGTTACAATCTTGAGCATCCACAGATTCTGGTATCCTTGTGGGGCAGATACCAAATCTGGGGGCCTGGAACCAATCCTGGACAGATACTGAGGAATGACTATAGTCACAACAGCTTTCCGCTCTCCCAGAGAAACAGGGCACACACCTTCTGTCAAATCCACTAAGTTGTTTTCCATGATGGGCGAAGGAATGGAAATCCCCATTGCTTTCCGAACTCCGTATGTGCTTACGATATCACCTGGAGTTACTTGCTGTGCAAGTTCTTTAAGATTATTGGTCACTTGTTCAGCTAAAAAGAAAAACAAAGATAGTTCAGGTACTGAAACATGATTCCTTTAGATAATTTTCGGGCATCCCAAAGAACAGTAAATGCATAAAATGTAAAAAAATAAACTGTCCCTGGGATTGACATCCGCATTACTCTATAGTGCTATCGCCACTGTACTCAGAAGTTTTTTCTTTGAAGCATCCCCTGACTCTCCTCTTACAGGAGGCAAAACATACCAAGATGCATTTCTCTGTATGAAGGACCCAAGAGACAGATCATGTTGGGAGGGGGTCTGGTGCTCAAACGTTCATTCTGGGCTTCCTGGAGCTCCCTGAGCAATCTGGTGGTCTCATCAAGTTTCTTCTGGAATACTTCAGCTTCTGTGTGGTAAGAAAAAGAACACACTGAAGAAAGCAGACACACTTGTGTTTGATCTTGTGTAGTAAACTGACTCCTAGGCTCTACGGCTTTGCTAATTATTGGTTAGCCTTCTCCCTTCAAAAGAGTAATCCCCTTCAAATGAAATCAACACACCATACCCATTCATTTAACTTAGTTAGCCAAGATCTTCCTGTGGTGAATGGCTATGTTAATCTGTACTTATGAGACATTAAGTCTTGACTGCCTACATCATGCAGTGTTTCAATCAAACCCTCTGGAGACACTCACCTTCAGAGTCAAAAACTTCAACTGGAATGCTGAAGTTTGTTACTGCTTTCAGTGCTATGAGCCTGTCTTGAGTACTGGAGTCCAAACGCCCTGCTGGCTCTATTTCTGTAATCTGCTTCAAAAGGAAAAACAGGCAATTATTGGAGCTTGCTAAGCCATGACAGTGCTAACTAGAAATTACTCAGATGGTGTGTGTTTACAGGCAAAGTTATTCCACCTATTTACTCTGGAGTCCTAATTTTGATGCTTAAAGAAAATGAATTTCGAGATCACCCTTTTAAAATGCTATTTCCAAATCTTGGCACAAACAAGTATTCAATAAA